ATGAATGCATGCAATTATTAATCATGTTGGAGGTTCCATTGCAAAGTCACATTTCTACCGTTTTTGTACTTTGCACACATTTTCAAATTTCCAGTACCATTTCAGAGTTATCTGGTATTGCTCAAATGACAACTGTTCTAACACCAATTTCTTTGACTGTCCTGCTATTTGATAAGGTGGTTTTTTTTTATTGGGTAAAAAAAACTAGGATACAAAAGTGGCCTAGGCAATGCCCATCCAGCCTTCTGTAGCACATTCTAAAAACTTCTCTTTCTGTAGTAGCGGTGGGCCCGCGGTTAATTCACATCTTAGCATAAATTTGAGAATGTTGTGAGTGGTCCGTGCCATTTCCTCTTGTTCTTCCCTTGCATATCCGTTTTAAATATATATGGGAATGTTGTTTATGAAGTAGCAGACGCCTTGCAGAAATCTCTTTTCTTCTAGCCTCAAGAGCTCTGTGACTGATTTTGGGTAGTTCTTTTTACTGTTCTCGGAGAGGATGCCCATCATTATTGCCCTTTGGTCGTCACACTGTTTGCAATCCCAGAAAATATGTTCCTCCGTTTGCAACCCGTCACCACATTCACATTCGGCCGTGGGCACAATGTTAAATCTGTTTAGACTTACTTTAAGACTGGTATGTCCTGCTCGCATACGGTTTATTGACACGAAGGCACGGCGGTTCATTTTTATCTGACTAAACCACGGAGTAGAGCCTTTCCTATAGTACCTTTCAAAGTAGCGTTCTCCCCTTTCTTGTTTGGTGTTTTGACAAAAGCTGTGGAGTTCTTCTTTCCCTTTCATTTTCCACTCGGTTTTAAGATCAGCCACGGGTAGTAGTAGTTGGCTATCTCTGCCTTCTTTAATTGCTAGCTTTGCCTGCGAGTCGACCCTCTCATTAATTTCGACTCCACAGTGCCCCGGGATCCAGTAGAATTGGGTTTTTTTCTCTTGTGATTCGAGTCTCTCTATTTTATCCTTTAGCATGTGGATGATGTGCGATGCGTTGCTTATTTTAGTGGGGTTACCAATGCTTTGTAACACGCTTGCCGAGTCCGAGAAAATCGTGAAGTTTTGCCCGGATTCTGTTTTTTCGATGATTTCTAGTGTTTCGGCAATTGCTAATGCTTCTGCAGTGAATATGGACGCTATCTTGGATATTCTGAATTTCATTCGACGACTATCGTTTATATCTATCTATATCTATCAGATATATCTATATCTCTCCTACAAAAGGCTTGTCCACCATTTTTGAGCCGTCCGTGGCGAAACTTTTGCTGGTCCTAATTCTTTCTTGGAATATCTTGTAAAATTCCTTGTTATGATCTTCTGTTTCCTTTATTTGTCTTCCCTCATCGAACGATACTCTAGCCTCGTAGAAGAGACTTTCGTACGTGTA